GAAGGCTGTTAGCTGCCATGTTGGTGCTGGGAACCAAATCTAGGTCTTCTGCAAGAGCAGCCAGTGCTTTTAACTGCTGAACCATCTCTTCAGTGACCCATGTAAGTGCTTCTGATACTTCATTGTGTAGGCAAGTCCCCAGGGCCCTGTGATAGTGGGGATGCTGGAGACATACAGCCAGGGGGGCCCAAGACTGCATGTGTAACAAGTCCCCCATGATGCTGCAGCTGGTGTGCTGACACTGAGCAGCTCCAATCTGCTCAGTTCTAGTATGCTCCTGGCCCTGGGAGGAACAGGTAAAGTGAGGGTATGAACTGAAGTTTCCTGGAAAAGTTAACACCCTTGTTGAAGATTCCAAAGTCCACTGACAGATTAGAGCTCACTGATTATTGAGTGCTCCAGTCCTACAGATTCAGAGCCAAAATTATCTTGGGTTACCTTTAGTTCCTTTTAATAGTCATTTATCACCCACCTCTGGATCTAACTTAACATCTTTCTGGCAATCATGAAACCTTTGGAATGCATTAAGTTGCTAGCAGAGACATCCCTTGTTTCTACCAATCCAAAAGTTAAGAATGATACCAGATAGGGTCTGAAACCTGCAGCCGAGATTTCTCTGCTTTGCTGTGACCTGCCTACCTACTGCCCCCACCAATGTATTTAGTAAATGTCTCAATGTATAGCCCCCTGTTGTACTATAACTGTTAAAGTTTCACCCAACCACTTCCATGGTGGGTGGAGCATATCTTCTGAGTCAACCAGAATCCGTGTTCCCAGACCATGGCTGTTTCTATTTGCTTCAGAACAAGCTCTCTCTTACCCCCTTTGGAACAAGAGCTGTGTTTTTCAGCAACTGCCCTTGTGGCAGCTGCTGGGGACTTGGGAGTCCCCACAACAACCCAGGAGTATCATCGCAGCAGGGTGTCCCAAGCATGGAGTGGTCATCATTAGCACCCTGTGGCCCTGAGAGAAGGCCATGCAGTCCCCTGCCCCCCGCCATGCAAGTTTCTGTTGACATAAAGAAGCAGGAAAGGCAAGCCCAACACTGTGATTACTCTAATCATGGATCTGAGAGGCACTCCTGAGCCCCTCCACCTTTATTTAGCTGCTTCCTGCTGTGATCCCGAGTCCAAACAGGAACACTGTACCTAATTTGTAATATTATCCAACAATGTCAGGACTGTGGTTAGCTTTGATTAGAAATCCTAGACTCAGCATGATCCCTTTAACTGGGGGAAGGCGTGTGGAGAGAAAAGAGAGACTGGAAGAGGCACGGATTAAAACAGAGCAAGCCTCTCCAGCTTGTTAGTGGTATGGTACCCCAGGTGTCTAGATGCTGTTTTGCAGGGCTTGGTAAGAACTCAACTGCTAAACTCAGATGCTGGAATAGACATGAGAGCCGAACAGGACTGGCTTCTATCCTGCAGACAAGCCTGAGCCCCCAACCCTGCTTAAAAAGCCTGAACAGCACCCTTGTAATCCAAGCACTGGAAAGGAGGCAGACAGGAAGATTCCTGGGATCCACTGGCCAGCCTAACCTACTTGGTAAATTCCAGGCCAGTGAGAGACCGTGTCTAGGTGGGGCTGGGGAGATGGCTCAGTGGATAACGTGCTTGCCACACAAGCATAGGAATCACTAATACCTATGTAGAAGTCAGGTGGGCATTGTGCCTACCTGTAATCCCAGTGCTCTGGAGATGGAGCAACAGGATCAGGAGTTCAAGGTCATCCTCTGCTACACAGTGAGTTCAAAACCAGACTAGGATACATGAGATCTTACCTAAATAAACAAAAGGAAGGAAGGAAAAGGAAGGAAAAGGGGGGAGGGAGGGAGGGAGGGAGGAAAAGAGGGAGGGAGGGAAAAAGGAAGGCAGGCAGGGAGGGAAAGAGGGAGGGAAGGAGGAGGGATAGAGGGAGGGAGGGAAAAAAGGAAGACAGGCAGGGAGGGAAAGAGGGAGGGAAGGAGGAGGGATAGAGGGAGGAAGAATAGAAGGAAAGAAGAAAGAAAGAAAAAAGTTGAACAGTGACCACATTTGAATCTTAATGGTTCAGGCAGAGATCAATAGATGTCTTGTAAGAGGGCTTGGAAGGATGTCCCAGTGGATAATGTACTTGCTGTACAAGCACAAGGACGAGAATTTCGATTTGCAGAACCCATGTAAAAACTGGGCATGTGTAGTAACACTCCTGTAATCCCAATGCTCCGGAACCAAAGACAAGGAATTCCCCAGAGTAAGCTGGCTAGACAGCCTAGCCCAGTGGTGAGCTCCGGTTCAGTGAGGCACCTTGCTTCAATACATGACGTAGAGATTGATGGAGGAAGGGATACCCAGTGTCAGCCTTGGGCCACCACACACACGTACATACAGGTACATGCCCATATACACACGTTATACTCATACACATGCAAATATGCATACATATACCACATGCATACACATACATGTGTTGTGCTTACACACATGCATACATACACCACATGCACACATATACACAAAAACAAAAATAAAACATAAATATCTTGTAAAGTGGTAGTGCCATCTCCAAATCACAAGGCAGCTGCTCCTGGGAAATTCTTCCTCTGCTACACCTTAAAGTGCACTTCAGCCCTTGCATCCATTAAGTCTTGCCTAATTGACAGCTGTCACCAGGCTATCAGAATACCCCCCTTCTAAATTGCGTTACATATTTGGGTGGGAACAGGGTAGGCCCTGAGGTCTCTCAGCAAAAATGATCTTCAGAGGCAGGAAGGAGATGTGTTTGGGACAGCTGGGAGGAGCCGGCTGACCTCACACTCATTGCCCTCCTCTGAAGCCACTTCAGGAGGCACCAAAGACACCAGGCAATGCGTAAAGCATAGCCCACAGGCGGGGTGGCAGGGGAGGAGAAGGCACTAACTCTTTTAGCAAATCAAGGCATGTTTAACCTTTTGGCACTGTGACGTGACAGGGTTACCTATGAAGACCATGCTGGAGAGCAGCACAATCAAGTTAAAAATATCAATAAATTGTAAAATTGTCTTATAATGTTTTAAGTAAGTTTATGGTTTTGCTTTGGTCTCCATTCGTAGCTATCCTGTGGGGCATGTGGGCTGAGGCTGCAGGGTGGACAAGCCCAGATGGTTTTCTGACAAGAGGAGCAAGATCATTCTGTAAACTGCCCCTTTGTCTGAAGGTTCAGGCAGCAGGTGGGCAAGTGAGAAAAGTCTGCCCAAGTTTTTCTATCATCTATCTATCTATCTATCTATCTATCTATCTATCTATCTATCTATCTATCTATCATCTATCATCTATCTATCTATCTATCTATCTATCTA